ATAAAAAGTAAAGCTTTCCCAGTTGAAGGGGGTGGTATTTTTGAGAAGTGCCAAAAGCATGGGTAAGTTAGTGGAATGAGACAAGGGGCCCATGCTGTCCTTTGTGCTGTGCAGTCATAAGAGAAGGTTTTTATTATTTTTTTCAATTCATTTTTGTGTTTGAATGTAGCTGACACACAACGTTACATTTGTTTCAGGTGCACAACGTAGTGATTCAACATGTTTATACATGATAGCTACGCTCACTGCAAGGGTAGCTACCATCTGAGCAGGTGCTTATTGTGTGATCTGTGTCTGTGGCCAGCTAGCCGGAGGGTAGCTGAGGGTCCTAAGGATGAGCCAGAACTGGGGACTTCCGTTTTCCGCCCCAAGGAGCATCATTTTGTACCTATGGTTATTGTAGCCATGTGGTTGTTCCCGCTTGCTTGGACTGTGGCTGCCGTCACCTGGCTGGTCTCCCTGACCGCAGGCTCCCCTTCTCCCGCTGTCCTCCAGATTCTGGCACTGCCTGGTCTTCCCCGGGTACCGGCTCTAATGGGAGAAAAGCACAGCGTTGTTGCCCCACCAGCTCTGCTCTGCGACTTGCCTCCGCCGGGGCCTCACGATGACCTGGCCGTGCAGAGGTTCACACTCTGACCAGACCCACCCCAGACCTCTGCTTGTGCCTGGGATGCCCTGCCTCCCCTCTGCATATCAACATCCTATCTATCCTGGCTCACATGCTCCCCGCTGCATGCCAGAAAGTACCCGCCTTGCTTTCCCCAGACCTTCTCCTGGTTGGGCAAGATTCCCTCTTCTAAGCTGCTGTTGTGAAGTTTGAAAGGAAAGAAGGTGAATGCTCCCGGGGTGTCGTGTCGGTGGTGAATTTAAGGAGGGAGATGAAGCAGGAGGTTGGAGCCTCCAGACCCGGAGAAGCCAGCAGCAGGTGGGACTCAGTGAGCCCTACGGACAAGGCCTCCTTCTCTGCACCATGGCTCCTGAGAAGTGAAAATGAAACTCAGCTGACAAGGGCCTCGAAAACAAGAGAGACAGAGGCCAAAATGGGAGGGCAGGTCACGTAGGCAGAGGGTCCTGGGCTGGAAGGCAGGACGCCCGTTTGGGAGCCCGCCCCCCGCCCCCCGCCTTCCTGAGGCTCCGTCTCCTCACATGTAAAATGCAGACATTTGCACCCACCTGTGAGCTTCACAGGATCGTCAGGAGGGTTAAATGAGATTTTGGATGCCAGGGAGGCTCTGGCGGCCGGTCTCAGATCATGGTCATCATTGCTGAGCATTTACTGTGCACCAGGCACTCTGTGTAGCACTCATTCAGTCTTTACAATGACCAGATCAGGGGCATCTGTTAGTTGCCCCTACTTTACTGGGGAGGACACTGAGGCATGAAGCGGCTGCATGATCTTAACTCTGCCGAAGATCACAGAGTTCAGAAGAGGCCGACTCGGGATTTAAACCCAGGCAGTTTGGCTCTAGAGCCCTTGCTCCCAGCCTCTGTGCCAAACTGACTTGAGGGTTCAGTGGTAGCACGCGGGCTTGAACCTAGGCAGTGTGCTGCTTCCCAGCTGTCTTTGGGGCCAGGCGAGGTCAGGTTTATAGACGGGCAGCTTCCTGGGTGGTTGAGGACCCGGCCTCCCCATATCTCATGGGCTGAGGGCTCCCTACACTAGCTTTCTGAGTGGCACCTCGGAGCATCCCAGAGACAGAGCATGAGTGGGGGAGGCTGACCACGCCCACAGGTCAGCCTCATGCCCCAAGATGGTCAAGCTCCCCTCCCCCAGAATGCTCACTCTCCCAGGGCATCTCACAGAGCAGGGCTTGCCGAGGACGCCCACGGTGCCCCTACTCAACAGACCGGCAGGGGGTCCCTCGGGGTTCACATCTTCTGCTGAGGAGCAGGATAGTGTGGTGAGTGGAACCTGACAGTGGATCAGATAAACTGGCCTGAATCCTGGCCGTCAGTACTAATAACAGATGGGAGCCACCATCTGTGTCCCTAGTTGACCAGGGAGTACCTATTCAGCCATTCAACAAATAGTTCTCAGGGGCACCTGGGTGGCTCAGTCGGTTAAGTGTCTGACTGCAGCTTAGGTCATGATCTCACGGTTTGTGGGTTCGAGCCCCGCGTTGGGCTCTGTGCTGACAGCTCAGAGCCTGGAGCCTGCTTCGGATTCTGTGTCTCCCTCTCTGTCTGTCCCTCCCCCACTCACGTTCTGTCTATCTCTCTCTCAGAAATAATATAAATAAACATTAAAAAAAATTTTAGGGGCGCCTGGGTGGCTCAGTCAGTTGAGTGTCTGACTTCAGCTCAGGTTGTGCTCTCACAGTTCGTGGGTTCAAGCCCAGCATCGGCCTCCGTGCTGACAGCTCAGAGCCTGGAGCCTGCTTCAGATTCTGTGTCTCCCTCTCTTTCTGCCCCTCCCCTGCTTGCACTCTCTCTATTTCTCTCAAAAATAAATAAACATTAAAAAAAACAAAACAAATAGTTTCCAATGCCTGCTAGATGCCAGGCCCTGTACTAGACATTGGGATGGAGACATGAATTTGACAGACAAAACTCCTGCCCCCATGGAGCTTACCTCGTACTGGAGGAGGCAGAATTAAAAAGATAAGCACAAAAAACAAGATATGTTGGATTGTGATCAGTTCTATGGGGGAAAAAAAATAAAGCAGGAAAGAGGGATCAGGTGGGAGGAGTTACCATTTTAAATTCAGCGGTCTGGGTGCACCTGGGTGGCTCAGTCGGTTGAGCGTCCGGCTTCGGCTCAGGTCATGATCTCACTGTTTGTGAGTTCGAGCCCCAGGTCGGCCTCTGTGCTGACAGCTCAGAGCCTGGAGCCTGTTTCAGATTCTGTGTCTCCCTCTCTCTCTGCTCCTCCCCTGCTCGTGCTCTGTCTCTCTCTCTCTCTCTCTCTCTCTCTCTCTCAAAAATAAACAAACATTAAAAAAACATTAAAAAAAAATAAATTCAGTGGTCTGGAGATAAAATTGAAAAAGCCTAGAAGGCAGTGAGGGAGAGAGTCGTGCAGACATATGTGCAAGACTGTTGTGTTACAGGTAGAGGCAGGCGAGTTAGCAGTGATTCATGGAACACGGACTGTCTTCGGTGGCTGGGGCGTCACGCAGGGGGCGGGGTACGGGGGGGAGGCAGCACACAGGTGTAGAGAGGAACCACACCCAGACCTGCAGGGCAGACACTTCCGCATCACAGGAAACTCCCATGTAAGTGCTGTGGGAAACTGAGTGCATCTGAAGAGGCAGCTTCCCAGAGAAAGAGGTATCAGAGAGCCAATTTGGGGACAGGGTGGAGGTGGTGGGGGGTGCAGGGCAGATAACAC